CTGAAAACACAACAAAGGAAAGCCCAGCCAATTTGGAAACAGAACCTAGAAAAAGCGAAACGAAATGGAGTTCTTCACACGATATATGACGTTAATGGAGACTGGTATTCAGGAGAGTGGGCAGACGACAAGAAACATGGTAAAATACATAGACAGATAGATTAGATTTTTTTTTATTTTATATGATTTTTCGACTATAAAGGTTAAAACTAACTGCAAATCATCACCCCGAATATAAATGTTTAGGTTGAACGGCCACAGTGAGGCTTGTAACGCACGATAATGTGAAGTGAAATATAAGAAATGTATACTTTTCTTAAATCAAGGTCCTCTGGTGGGTTAGCGGGTAACTAACTTACGGACTTACAACGTTAACATCTTCGGTTAGATTCCCCGCAAAGGACAGAGCGCAAATAGACTATGTATATATATCTTTAGGCTAAAAAAAATTTACATCAAGAGTAAAAATAATAAATTATACAGTAGTATTACATAAGGCTATAACATTTCTTTAAAAATACATGTAAAATGGTTTATATTTGAAACACAATAAAAATGAATTCATGGCTTATTAATTTCTTTAAACATTTGTTTATGTAGAAATTTTTATACAGCTTTGGTGCATTATAAATACCCATTTTCTTCCCGATAAAAAGCTAGACATATCATGTGAAAATATTGAAGCCGTTCCTTTTCATATCATATTTGAATTAGTATTTTAAATTTAAGAATAATGAAATTGCATTATTATTAAAATGTATATTAAGAAAGTGAAAGGAGTTGTTTGTAATTAAGCACAAAACTACACAATAGGCCACCACTGGTATCGAAACCCGGATTCTAGCATTGGAAGTCCACAGACATGCCGCTGTGCCACTGGGGGGTCAGAGAATGAAATAGAAGTAGTAAAGGGGTTTAATGTTTAAAAAATGGTGTATTAGCATTCAGTTAAAATTTATTTTATTATTACAAAGTTTTATTTTGTATTTTATTGCTTTTATAATAAAATATTGGTATTTATCCAAAGCTTATTTTCTGGAAATTTTAATAAATATAATTTGAAAAAAAAAAAAACGAGATAACTACCTGACTTGAAATAATAAGATATAAAGTTTCATAGAAATAAATAAAGTGAAAATCTTCACTATGAAAGATTTTTATTAACTCATATTTATTTGTATTTATGATTTTTTCGTACAAAGGCAAAGGTACACAGTTTTGGAAATTAACAGGCGCTACATACAGTGGAGACTGGAAGAATGGAAAACGTCATGGTCACGGAAAATTCGGTGTCCCTAACCCATCTGGTTCCGGTCTAAATGAGCAATACGTAGGGGACTGGGCTCATGATAAAAGAGAGGTGAGCTTATTTTTTTATTTGTGTACACACAATGTGAAGTGTTCATCAGAGAGAATAACTAAATTGCATACTAGTGTCATCTGTTGACAGGATTTGACACTACAATCAAATATTAAAACTATAAATACTCTGCATTTATGTTCATTTTTATTAATTCAATAAACCACATAAAATAGTTGATACAGAGAAAAATAAAACACTTTTTTCGAAGATTTGATTAAACATCCTAAAAGAAACACGTATCCACTGCTAGAAAGGGGGAAAACACAATTGTCAAGCGTCTGCTTGGGTTAAATAGTTTTAGAACTGCGAGTTATTTTAGTCGTAAATAAATATGTCTATAACCACAAAAATGAAATTAAGAAATTAATAGTAAACAGGTATAACCTAAAACGTGAGAAAAGTAACACATCAGTAATACTTCAGGAAAATAGTAAGAATCAGGAAGAATAAGTTATCTCAGCGAATTTAAAACTGACGTTCAGTCATATCCTTACGTTATAAGGTTTTCTCGAAACCTGAAAAATAACCAAATCTGTCCGCTAGGTTGGCTGTATCTGTTGGTATATCACCCATGGATATACCAACGCTCAGAGTTACAAATGACCAATTTAAGGTTCCTGATTTATTGACATATCCCATAGTCCAGAGGGGTCGTAGGGTTTCTTAGACGACTCCTCTTGTTACAGCTCTTCGGCCTCTCTTCCAAATTCTCGGCCTTCCACTTTTTGATGTTATATATCCACATAATTCTTCCCTTTTATTATCTGTTCTTACCACTATTCATCCCGTAAACAAATCACTGCAATCAGTGACCGAAAGCATTGCGTTTGTATTGTTATATATAGCATTATTGTTTTATCGGGTATTTATGTAATATTCATAAAACGTAATAAAGCACGGAAGCATATCAAAATAAATAAATAGGTCAACTTTATTAAATATATTTTTTTACACTAACAGAGTCAAATAAATTTAAGAAGTGCTTTATCTAAGACACAGAACTGAAGATAAGGAAGTACTGAGCCTCACGACCTGCAGAGAAAGGAGCAGTTACACGGAAAGGTGTCCTATAAACATAACAATACATAAGAAATGTTATAAAACATCATTGTAAAATCTTAGCATTACGGATCTCAGGCCATGGATACATAATAATAATAACACCGCCTTTCAATAATTACTGTTTATTGTTCAAATTTATATAAATATAATAATACTGTCTGCTGTATGTCCATGTAACTACTTCGCAGGGTGTAAATGGATCTTCACCAAAATTGGCATGGTGGTCCATGAGGAAATACAAACAAATTTTAAGTTTTGCATTTTGCGTTTTTTACCATTACCTCACTTTCTGTGAATAGATCTTCACCAAATTTGGTGTGGAAATCCATTGGGTCCATGAGGAGATACACACAAATTTTCAGTTTCGCATTTTACGTTTTGCGATTTTTATGGGTTTACCACTACCTCCCCTCCTGTGGATGGATCTTCACCAAATTTGGTATGGTGGTTCATTGTGTCCATGGGGAGATACATACAAATTTTCAGTTTTGCGATTTTTACCACTACTTCGTCTCCTGTAGATGGATCTTCATTCTTCATCAAATTTTGCATGAAGCTTTGTTGGTCCCATGCACAGATACATGGAAACTTGTGGTTCAAAATTTTGTGTTTTCTGTTTTTATGGGCATTTTTTGCAATTACATATGAAGGAAGCAGCTTTTCATGTCCTAAGATAACCTTTCATTAATCATGAATTTACATAACTTCTGTCCAGGGAACGGGTACTCCAGCTAATAATATAATATATGGATGGCACACTTAATATGTATATAAACATTACATAGGCATTTGCCAGAGTGTTTTACTGAATGTAGGTAGACATTTCAGTCCCAAAAAACAATTCTTCAAATTCAAATTATGTTGTGTTATTCGAGTGGTAATAATGTTCAAACAGAATCTCCTGGCATGAAAACTGTTACATACAGTAGAGCAATGTTTTTCAATCACCGTTCCGCAGACCAGCGCCGCTCTGTGGGATTTTGCGAAAACAAATAAAGAAACAAAAACTCACAGAATATTCATATGTAAATCATAACGTTTTTTGTTGTACTTGCATCTTAGTGATCCCCGTCAGTTTAGGAAGGAAAGAGCCAACCCCCTGATATCGAAAAGGTTGAGAAACGCTGCAATTGAAGATAACCTTAACCGTGTTTGTATCTAAAATATAAGCTCCGTATCTCCTGTCCAGATAACCACCATGATAAAACACTTTCTCAATGGATTTTTTTTCTGTCAGTTTAATGTTCCTATTCACGACCCAGCCACACCACAAGTCTTTTCTGGTTCTCCTTTATTGTCTGTCACAAACGTGAACGTACTCGTAAAGAGTATATATCTATTTCATTCACTACTGAAAGCAAGACTCGTATCCCCAGAGAACGTAATGCTGTGACTGATGTATAGGTGTTACTAATGTTTTTTTTTTTATTGGTAAGGGATCATGTTGTTAACTGCTTGTATTTCTTCTTGTAAGATATGTATTATTGGCGAAACGAATTTTTCTCCGATAAGGAGATTGATTTCTTGAGTATTTTAAATATTACAATTACAACATTTTTATAATATTTGTTTTTGTACTGGAAGTATAATTGAAAGAAAAAAGGCTTATATTCAAGCAGCATAAACACCGTTTAGACTGAAAGAAAAAAAGTTTTTTTACCAGTTTTATTCCACCTTAAACTCAAATTAATCAAAGACGTATTTAGCAACAGCAGAATCCAGCACTTTCCTTGAAGCTAATATTTTTATTGGAATTAGGACAAATAATTAAAATTAAAAACAATTATTATGATTATTCAGTTTTTGAGTCAGGATAATGTGTTCTAATTATCATTATTATCATCATTTTCTTAGGCTATGTGTATAAATAACGTGCTCGGTTTACCAAGGGTTTAACAACACATCTGCTGTGGGATATCATTTAAATATTTATTATTATATGTAGGTTTACGCTAAATATTTGGGATTAGGGCGCTGCTTGGAGAAGATGGGATCATAATAAATGTACGCTGGGTGAAAGAGTTTTGTGAATTCAGCCGAGTGAGAAAACTAATTATGAACATTGTGGTTAGCGAAACAAAAAAATCCTCAGTAGAGCTTACTTTGTTAGCGAAATAGTTTAAGACTGAAAGTTCAATGTGTTCCATGATTAGCTCTGTGACACTACAATTTTTTAACGATAAAAATCGGGTTTCGATACATGTGGTGGGCACAGCACAGGTTTCACTTTCTGTAACTTTGTGCTTAACTACAAACAAACAACCACAGTCCCCTGACAGGCCTGGCATGGCTAGGTGGTTAGCGACGCTCGACTCGCAATCTGCGGGTTTAAATCCCCATCTCACCAAACATGCTCACCCTTTAAGCCGTGAAGGCATTATAATGTTATCATCAATCCCACTATTCGTTAGTAAAAGAGTAGCCCAAGAGTTGGCGGTGGTTGGTGATGACTAGCTGCCTTCCCTCTAGTCTTATACTGCTAAATTAGGACGGCTAGCGCAGATAGCCCTCGTGTAGCTTTGCGCGAACTTCCTCAACAAACTTCCCTGACTCTGATGTTGATTGCGACAGATGTAACTTTTCTTTTAAAGGTGAAACGGAACGTTTGAAAAAACCACGCAAAAAAGAAGGCTGTTCAGAAAGTAAATATCTGGATTTTGTTGTTTCTAAATACCTTCTTTGATTAATTTCAGTTTTGGCTGGGATGAAAAATGTTAATTCCCAATACCGCCAAAACCATTTTTTTCTTCAAATTATGTTTACTTTGTATAAATATAAGTTTTCTCTTTTAGTTAAATAGCATTGTACATGTTCATTACAAAAATAAATCTTGTAAATATTCTAAGCACTGATATAGTATTAAAACACCAGTTCTATTATGTTGATATTTACAATGTTCATAAAATCGATCTCCTGATCTGAGTGAATTACGTTTCGCCAATTATGTGTTTATCATAAAAGAAGAAAGTGCAAGCAGTTAACAACACAACCAAGAAATAAAGAACACCAATCTTAGATTAGGCACATGGATTTATGACTACTTTGAAATGAACCCTTAAAAACAGCATTACGTACATCTTGCTTTTCAACATTGAATGAAGTATAAAAGTAGTCTTTATAGTTACGTTCATGTTCGGGACAGACAGGAGAAAGATCAGAGTAGATTTATGTTGTGGTTGGGTCATGAACAGTAACATCAAACTGAGAAGAAAGAAACTCCATTGAGAATGTGTTTTGTTGTGGTAGATATTTAAGGTGTCTGGGCAACCTTTTTCAAAATGTCCAGGAGACCTTAGCGTTTGTGTCTTAGATACAACACGGTTAAAGGTACCCTCTATTGTATAAAACAGGTTTATTGCCATTAAACTCTGTTTGAAAGTTAGTATCACTCGAATAAAAAAGTCATTTGAACTTGAAGAATTGTCATTCGTGACTAAAATGTTTATTTAAACTTAGTAGAATATTGTGGCCATTGGCCATATGATGTGTATATACGTAGTTAAGTGTGTCGTCCAACAATTCCATTGTATCATTTGAACAGAAACAAATGGCCTGGCATGGCCTGGTGGTTAGGGCGCTCGACTCGCAATCTGAGGGTCGCGGATTCGAATCCCCGTCACACCAAACATGCTCACCCTTTCAGCCGTGGGGATGTTATAATGTGACGGTCAATCCCACTATTCGTTGGTAAAAGAGTAGCCCAAGAGTTGGCAGTGGGTGGTGATGACTAGCTGCCTTCCTTCTGGTCTTACACTGCTGAATTAGGGACAGCTAGCGCAGATAGCCCTCGTGTAGCTTCGCGCGAAATTCAAAAACAAACAAACAGAAACATTAATTATGGAAAGTTTAATGCCGAATGGCTTAATAACTATAATAATTTACGCGTGTTAACTTTTCTAGGACATCGTGAGTGAAGAATACAGAATGATATTGGGCTTTCCTCCGACATGCTCTTTCACATCCCAATAAAACTGAGTAATATACGAATACTTTTCAAAAACAGCATTAGTGGTTATTTTTCGCTAAGATTGTGTTGTAGACCAATGCTTCCCAAACTTTTTCAACTCGCGGCACACTTTTAATGTTCTAAACTTTTGTGTTGTAGACCAGTGCTTTCCAAACTTTTTAAACTCGCGGCACACTTTTAATGTTCTAAACTTTTGTGTTGTAGACCATTGTGCTTCCCAAACTTTTTCAGCTCGCGGCACACTTTTAATGTTCTAAACTTTAGTGTTGTAGACCAGTGCTTTCCAAACTTTTTCAACTCGCGGCACACTTTTAATGTTCTAAACTTTTGTGTTGTAGACCAGTGCTTTCC